GTTATTCTTATTAAGGTTTTATAAATGTCCAAAGTAATATGCAATGAAGTAAAATTGTGATAATTCACAGTATTCCATTCCCCATCAACTCCCAGAAGTCTGGTAGCTTCTAACAGACAGCCAAGGTTAGAAATGCATGTTATATGTTAGGAGAAAACACAATTAAGATAAGTAGTAAGAGAATAAAAAGAAAGAAAATAAGGATAGTAAAAACACCTACTATGCATAGAGTCACTACTATGAGAAGGTGCCTTACATCAATTCAGCCAGTTCTCAAAACAGCTATGCCAGGTAGGTGACATCCTTCTTCACCTTCACAGAGGAGGAAGCAGCCAATAAGGGATTACATACCTTGTCCAGGTCACACACCAAGTAAATTATGGATTTAGGACTTAAATCCAGGATTCTTTAATTTCAAACCCTAAACCCTTTCCACAAATCATGTGTCATTTATAAGGATGGGATTAAAGAACAATAAATCCAAGGATAGCTCAATGGAACAGAGCTATGGAGAAAACAGATATAAATCAGAGCAGATGAGAAGAGACAAGATAAGACACTTCCTCTCCCAAATCATATAAAGATCCAAAATGTTAACCTTCCTTCTTCCATATTCATCCACTTACTATCAACCATGTCACCAGCAGTGCAGGATTGCACATAATGTTGACACCAAACATAACCCATGTTTCTGTTCTTAGGAGCCTACAGCCCAAGAAGGAGCAATGAGAAGCAACAAAAACAAAGAGGGGGAAGTGTGAAAGGTAGTGCATCATGCTGTATTTCTCCAAATACAGATCCCACTCTTAAAAACACTATACCCCGCGCAAGTGAACACACCAAACAAGGTTAACATGCACCAGCCAGTCAAACCAGCCTCACCAAAAACTAGGATATTGTTTAAATGCAAAATAATTGAACTTTCAATAGCTCATACAATCGCATTCAATAAAACAATCATTTGTTCAACAAACATTGATTTGAACATCTAAGAAGCCTTGTGCTGGGTGCTACAATAGGAAGCCAAGTAAAACCCACTTCAACCCTTTTAAGAATCTTTTCCACAGTAAACATCCAAATATAACGAGGCCCACATCTTTAGACTATAGAGAAATAGATCTGGCCAAAGGCCCAAAGTGAAATATTAGTGGCTTTTCATTCTTTCACCACTTTACTATAAGAAGCACTGGAGTTTGCAGAATGCTGAGTGTTAAAGCTCTAGGATATTTTCTATGGTATCTGTAAAAAGTGAAGTCACAGGGGAAATCACCTTCCTTTTTTCCTTAATAGAACATGTCTGTGTTATTCTTCCATTCGTACAAAATATTTTTGATCCTGGAAGCAAGTTTGTGATAGGATTTTGGTAAACTAGTCCTAAGGGTGCAGGCAAGAGAGGGGTTGAAAGAAAGGAAAGGACTCAACACTGAGAACCTGGAAGGCATTGTTCTAGGCACTTCATAATTGTTATGTCATTTATACCACACAAGAACCATGCAAGATAAGATTTATTATGCACTACAATTGGTTATAAAATGGAGGCACAGAGATGTTAAGTGGCCCGCCCAAGGTGACAGTGTTAGGAAGCAGGGGAGCTGCCATCAAAACATATATCCACTTGACTCTGAAGTGTACTTCCTACTGTGTCATGCTGTGTGGGGACTAATGAGTGATCAGAGATGCTGCAAAAGTAAATGGAAGTTGGACCCTCCATGAAGCTCAACCCTGAGCCATTTGTTGAAAAGTGATCTCCTGCAGACAGGAACTGAGAAATTAATGAGAGAGACAAAGAAGAGAAAAGGGAAAATTCTGGCTCTGACAGTAGAACACATTGATGCTGGGCAAACAAAGGGAACACAGCACATCTGACAAGAAGCCAAAAGATTACAGAAAGGAATGGACAGAGCCAACAAGTACAAGGAAGGTGCTCAGTGTCCCTATCTGAGGGCATGAATTGTCCTCATATAAGTTTCTCTTGCATTGTGGGTTCCTGCTTCCCAATTTAAGTACAGATGTTAAAGGATAATGTTGTTGGCACTTTAAAACTGTGATAGAACTCCTCAAACACAAAGCCCTTTGAAGATGACAGCCAAGTGTTGGTAGTAAACTGATGGATGATGAGGACATATCATTTGTTTTTATAAAAAAGAAATGTGAAAGAGTGCCAGTCCCAAGACTAGAAATTAGGACATGTGTGTCTCCACTCGCTTTCTTGCCCTCTTGCCATTGCTATCAGAAGGATGTGAATGAGCTAGCTCACTAGTCAGTCTCCAGAGGAAGATGAGAGACACATGGAGTAGAGTTGCCCCAGCCAAACACACCCTAGAGCAGAGTACACAAAAGACTAAGTAAGGCCTCCTGACACAAACTGAGATACAATTAACCTCAGACATTTGTTCCAGTTATCCACTGCTGTTTAACAAAGTAGCCCAAACTCAGTGTCTTAAAACAACAACCATTTTATTATGGCTAACAGTTCTGTGGTTCAGATACTCAGGTCTGGATTGGCCAGGTGACTCCTCTGCTCTGTGAGACACTGACAAAGTCATTTAGTAGTGTTCAGCTAGTGGGTGGGTTAGTTGGGAGGGACTAACCTACAAATCTGGTGTCTCAATAGAGATGGAAGGCTGAGCTTGACTTGTACTTGCAATCACATGGTTTACAGGTTTGACAATCTCAACATAGTTTTTCCATAATGGCTCAGGGGTCCCAAAGAGAATGTTTCAAAAACATGGAAGCCCAGGGGCTCAAAATGTTATTCTGAGAACTGCATTTCCCAGAAATTATTGCCATTAGGATTCCAGTTTAGCTTCTGCCTATGGAAAAAAAAAAAGTACATGGAATATATGAGACAGAATGTAGAAAACAATTGTCTCCTGCAAGCAGCAGCTAGTAAATGCATGGGCTTTAACAGATGTGAAATTTTGTGGTGGCCCACGGCACAACAACATGAAATCCCACCTTTGTTCTGCAGGTGGCTGTGACTATGAGCAGCAGTATCCTGTGGTTCTTGCCCCAAGCAACAGTAACAATACAGTGACTCTCTGAAAACTAGAGATAAAATTGACAGCTAGTGGCAGACCTCCCTGCCCTTTCCCTTCCCTGCTTCAATGATTGAATAAGCACCTAATTGCCTGTATTAAATCCCTTTCTGCCTAACATACCTACATTGATTCCAGACCAAATCCTATTATCATTTATTCTTCTCCATTTAATTTAACTCTATTTCTATTATTATAAACTCCCAGCCTGCCAGCCTTTCTAATGTCCAATTCTTTATTCTTTTTCCTTAACCCATTAATTCCCCATCCATCCATACCTTTATCTATTACAAAAACAAAAATTTTTGTCCAAATATACCCCAAAATCAGTTTCAGTCATCAAATAATCCATACCAGTATTATATTTCAGTTGTATTGTAAATGTTTTTCTTTCTTTCTCTCTTTCTTCCTCTATTTCTTTTTATTTTGTGTTAGTCAGCTTTTTATTGCTGTGACCAAAGTATCCAACAAGATCAACTTGGAGGAGGAAATTTATTTTGGCTCAGAGTATCAAAGATTCAGTTCATGGTCAGCTGGTTCCACTGCTTTTACATTTAGCCTCACACAAAAGTCTCAGAACATGGGCAAATGTAGACAAGTTCTTTACCAAAATGTGAAATGAATGGCCTCTAGTGTATGCCCAATAGAATCTTCCTTCCCCTCTGAAACCTCCTAAGCAAAAGCTTTACTGTCTGCATTTTGGTTGGCATTCTTGTCTTCTGCACACCCATTTATCAATTAAGCTCTGCTTACAACATTCTAAAGCTTCTGCAGCCCACATCTCCAAATTTTCCAGACTCTTCCTATAAACTTTTCCAAAGTGTTCTGAACCACGTGATGGTCAGGTTAGTCATAGTAATGGCCTTACTTCTTAGTACTAATTTCTGTGTTAGTCAGCTTTGTGTTACTAAGACCAAAATAACTGACAAAAAAAAAAAACAATTTAGAGGAGGAAAAGCTTAATTTGGGAGGCTCACAGTTCAGAAGTTTAATCCATGGTTAACTAAGTCCATTATTCTGGGCCCAATGTTGGGGAGCAGTACATCATGGCAGAAGGGCATGGTGGAATAGAAGTAGCTCCCCTCCATGGGGGCCAGGAATCAGGGTAGGAGGAGCCCCAGACGAGATCAGCTCTTTCAGGACACATCCCAGTGCCCCACCTCTTTCAGTCATGCCCAGCCTGTCTACAGTTACCACTCCATTAGT